TATTTTTTTTTTTTTTTTTTTTTTTTACTTCTTTGAGAGCAATCTCTGCGTGGGCTGTTTCACATTTCTTTCTCTCAGGCTCCTCCATTGTTTCAACAGGATGTGATGCACTAATTATATTTACAAGTGCCGGCCCAGGGTCCAGATTTACTCTAACATGATAAACACACCTGCTGACTGATGAACAGAACAGCCTCGCACTTGTTTGTCAGAAAAGTTCTGCTGGATGTTAAATCAATAAACTACCTCGATGTGAAAACTGAACGCCTGATGTGCAGCGCAGACCGCAGCAGTCTTAGTCACTCTGCTCATCACCGACTTCTCCTGACTGGAAAATAACTCATCTGAATGGTATTCAGCTGATGTAGAACGGCGGAGATCGTACATGTGCACAAACATCTTTGTTCTCAGTGCAGTTTAATCAGCCGTCGTTATGAAAAAATGAAAAATTACAATATTAATCAGGCTGCGGTCCGGAACAATCCGTTGATGACTGTTGTGTCAGTCAGATGTATGTTATTTTTTATATGAAGTCAAATGTGTTTTTAAAAATTTTATCTGAATTAGTTCACAAATTAATTTAACATTTATTTCATATAATAAATTAAAACAAATTTAACCAAGTTCATACAGTTATACACACTCCAGCCCAGTAGGTGGCAGTAAGGCACTTTGTAGTTCACTTTCCAGTCACAAGTGAAGTTTTTTTTAAGCTTCCTGGCGGCAGCTTAGATAGCTGGTTGTTTGTAACACAGACGCCAGAGCTAACGTTAGCTACAACAGTCCTGGTACAGACGCCAGAGCTAACGTTAGCGACAACAGTCCATCACACAATAGACTAAACTAAAATATTCTTGACAACTGATGTACTTACAGTATTTATGAGGTAAAGTTTTCACATGGTTCGATGATACTGCACATGTACGGAAATTACAGTAAACAATTCCAATTTGAGATTACGATAAATAATTCATCAAAGCAGCTCTGGTGCAAATCGTATTAATAAATAATTGCGTAATAAATTAAGTCATAAATAACACACATGAAAAGATAAATAAATAAATAACAAAGTAGCGGCGGTACAGAGCGGGAGCAGCAGCTGACATGTGCCAACACATCTCCACCAATCCGCTTCTCACGCTCCTCGTCTCATTTACATCAGTAAAGCTACTTTTAACACATCGACTCGCAGCCTAATGAGCCGCGGCCCAGAGGACACTTCAGGGCCTCGTGCCGAAGTATGAGCCCGCGCTGCGTCCATTCAGCCTGGTGCCAGTGTGCCCCCCACTCTGCCACAAGTGCCAGTCCTCTCTCCCTCCCGTCGGCCCCACAAACAATGGCTATAAATTACCAGTTAACAATACGTTAGAATATTCAAAGCCGGGCAGGATAAAGGAGCGGTCGGTGTGGCGCAGCCCGAGGTGTGCGACCCGGTGAGAAGTCTACAGATGCCAGTCGACGGGCGCTGTCCTGCCTGCTGACGGCTGGCTGTTTGTCTTTGACATGTAGAGCATGAGGGAGGTAAAGAGGAGAGGGAGGGGCGGGGGGGGGGGGGGGGGGGGGGGGGTAAGGAGGTAGACGGCGTCCAACTCTACTCTCAGGGCGTCTCATGTTCTTCACTTAATCCCACTTTATCCAGGAGAGGCGAGCTGTCAGATCTGTGAAAACACACATTTGGTTTTAAATACTTTTTGACTGTCGACGAAACCTCAGGTCTGGGCTGGAACAATGGGTGAGAACGGCAGAGAACGGTACCACAGGATCAGTACCGGACCAGCTGTGGTTCAAGTCCAGTCTGAAAGACTTGTTTAAACAAGTGTTGCCTTCATGGTTCATGTTCTACTGTAGTAAATCACATTCACTTCCTAGTTGTGATACTCTTGACTTTATATTATCTTATTATTATATCTGACATCATTATTATTTTTATTCCTTTTTTTTTTCCACACAGACATCTTCAACTCACCGCTCGTGTTCCAAATGGCGTTGGTCTGGTTCTTGTAGCCGTTCTTCATGCACTCGTCCACGTAGGACTTGGGGTCGCAGCCCGATATGAGGATCTCCCTGAGCAGAGCGATGTAGGCGATGGCCAGCCTCAGCGTGTCTATCTTCGACAGCCGCTTCTCGTAGGGGAAGGTGGGCACGTGGCAGCGCAGCTCCTCGAAGGCCGAGTTGATGCTCAGCATCCGCTTCCTCTCCCGGATGTTGGCGGCGTGCCTCTGCACCTTGTAGGGCTGGTGGACCACCAGGCGGCGCGCCCTGCGCTTGCTCACGTCCAGGTTATCGTCCGAACTCTCTCCCTCCGTGGAGATGAGCCCCGGCCCCGGAGACTGGACCTCAAGGTCAGCGAAGGTCAACTGCACATCCGGGAACATGGACTGACAGCCCACGGACGACCAGGGGGACAGCTGACCTGAGGCTGAGGTGCAGTCGGACAGGAAGGAGTCCAGCTGGTTCTGGAACTGGAAGTTCTGGTCCATCTGTCCCCAAAATGGAAAGTCAGTGCTGCCATCGTGGTCGAAGTCGAAGAGAATGTCTTCCATGATGGATGGATGGATGGATGGATGG